TTCCTTCCTTCCTTCCTTCCTTCCTTCCTTCCTTCCTTCCTTCCTTCACTTCCTTCCTTCCTGTATATGTGTATTCTGTAGTGTACAACTGTGGGTCAGAGAACAATTGAGTCAGTTCTTTCCTTTTAAGGTCTGTGCCTCAGGTCTTGAGTTCAGATGGTTGGACTTGGCCACAAATAACTTTCTGTATGGACTCATCTTGCCTGTCCTTCTTATTCATCTTAAAATAATTTTTTTTGAGTCACTGCAAGCCAACAGCCTTGGAGATATCTTGACAAGATTATTGCCTGATATCTCTGCCGGGTTTATTTATGTATTTGGTGCTTGAGCAGGCATTTTCCTCACTGAACTCATTCAGTCCCTCAGCCAATCTTTTAAAGATCTTTTGGATGATTTTATCATGAAAATGTGTATAACACTGAGAAAGACTTCTGTCAAGATGTCACCTACTGTTCATTGTTCTATGGCATCTCAAGTGGCCAACTATACTCTTGTGTCAGTATCTGAGGCCTGTGTCAGAAGACTGGAAGAAGGACAACCATCACTGTTAACCCACACGTTACTTATTTCCAGACTCTAGCTCTCTGGACAGAGCCTGTCATCTTGGCAAGGTGGTTTTAGAGCAGGTAAGACATAAAAACTGTCACACACATGTGAAGGATACCCACAGTTTTTGAACTGCACTTTGAAACCTGAAGCAAGTCATTTCTGAAAACAGAAATTTTAAGATCAGAAACACAAGTGAGCTGAGATTTGCATTACCTCTTATTGTCTGTATAAACACTGCTTCACAAACAAAGCCTGTTTGCCCAGTTACTATTAATTGTTCTTCAGAGAATGGCCACCACCAAATGTCCAGATAAAAAGAGGAGTCACATGATCTGAATCTGTAGTGTAAAAAAAAAGAAGAAAGAAAGAAAGAAGGAAAGAGAAAGAAAGGAAGAAAGAAAAGAAAAGAAATGAAAAGAAAAGAAATCCAAATGTGGGTACCCTTGCATCTGGGGCAGAGATAATCAGAATTGACAGTTCACCTTGGTAGATTTTTTTCCTTTGATGTGCATATAGTATTCTTCCACATCTTTCTGCATGGTTTGGTTCAATTCTTTCACCTGTTTGATTATGTTCTCCTTTATTTTTAAGGGATTTATGTGTTTCCTCTTTAAGGGTTTCTACCTGTTTATCTGTGTTCTCCTGTATTTATTTATTTATTTATTTATTTATTTATTTATTTATTTTTATTTTTTGAGACAGGGTTTCTCTGTGTAGTCCGGGCTGTCCTGGAACTCACTCTGTAGACCAGGCTGGCCTCGAACTCAGAAATCCACCTGCCTCTGCCTCCCAAGTGCTGGGATTAAAGGTGTGTGCCACCACCGCCCAGCTTCTCCTTATTTCTTTAAGGGAGTTATTTATGTCCTTCTTAAAGTCTTCTAGTATTTTCATGAAATGAGATTTTAGATATCAATCTTGTTGGGGTATTAAGGTCTTTCTGTGGTCAGAGAATTGGGTTCTGATGTTGTCAAGCGTTATTGGTTTCCATTGCTCATGTTGTGCTTGTCTCTTGCCATCTGGTTATCTCTGTTGATAACTGGCCTCACTGTCTCTGACTGGAGACTGTCCTTCCTGTGAGCCTATGAGCCTGTGTTCCTGGATGCTTTCAGAACCCCTGAGGAGTTGAACTGCGACCAGGGTGTGGACTGTGTGTGTTTGGATCCAGAGCAGAGGCTTTGCTCCAGGCATAGGTGCAAACTAACTGGAAGGTGCACGGGTCTACAACCGGGTGGGGTATCTGTGTCCCAGGGTCACAGGGGACCAGGTATGTTGGGTATTGAGGTGGAGTTTGGGGGTCTCACCTGTGGTCCTAGATGGTGTCAGAATACCTGTGAAGTTGAGTTGCAACTGGGGTGTGGGCTGTGTGTGTTGGATCCAGAGCAGAGACTGCTCCAGGGACAGGTGTAAACCCAAAGGTGCCTGGACAGGGTATCTGCCAGAAAGGTATATTTTAATGAATCTTCTCAGTAACTGGAGTACATTTCCAATATTAAGAGTTACTGTTGCCGGGCGGTGGTGGTGCACGCCTTTAATCCCAGCACTTGGGATGCAGAGGCAGGTGGATTTCTGAGTTCGAGGCCAGCCTGGTCTACAGAGTGAATTCCAGGACAGCCAAGGCTACACAGAGAAACCCTGTCTCAAAAAAAAAAAAAAGAGTTACTGTTGAGGAATATGAATTTCACTCATTAAAGTATGCAATGCAGTGGTTTAAAAAGAATAAGAGACAGATGGAGGGAGGGAACTGGATGGGAGAGAGGATGGGGAGGAGAATGGGGTAGTTCAGATTCAGAGGTGGGGAGGGAAGGAGGAATTGCCAGATGGCCATGAGAATGAATGGAAATCTGCAACTGATGGGGGTGCAGAGGTAAGGGGCCTCTCCAGGAAGAGATGGAGACCTGGGAAAAGGGATGCACTGAAGAATCAGTAGGGTTATCCTTATCCATGACTCACAACATTGAGGATATGCAACCTGAAATGACTATCTCATCTAGCTAGTCAGGAAACCCAATGGTGCTATAGGGACACAAAAGCACCCACAAAAACTTTCAACTGAAAATTTATCCTGTCTAGAGGAAATGCTGGGACAGGAGATGGAGCAGAGACTGAGGGATGGGCCAAGCAATAACTGGTCCAACTTAAGACCCATCCTATGGACAAGCACTAATCCCTGACACTATTAATGATATTCTGTTATGCTTGCAAACAGGAGTCTAGCATGATTGTACTCTGAGAGACACCACACAGAAACTGACTCAGACAGATGCAGACACCCACAGCCAAACAGTGGTTGGAGCTTGGGGATTCTTATGGAAGAACATGAGGAAGGATTGGGGCCTCTAAGGGGATAGAAATTCCTGAGGAAGAGGACCCTGGACCCTTGGGTATCTTAGAGAGTGAACCACCAACCAAAAAACATGCATGGGCTGGACCTAGGCTTCCCTGGACATATGTGGCCAGTGTGCAGCTTGGTCTTCATGTGGGACCCAAACAACTGGAGTGAGGGATATCCCAAAAGCTGTTGCTTTTATGTGGGATATGTTCTTCTCACTGGGCTGCCTTGTCTTGCCTCTATGTGAGAGGATGTGCCTAGCCTAGCAGAAACTTGATGTGCCAGAGTGGAAAGATACCCAGGAGGTGCCCCATTCTCTAAGAGGAGAAGAGGGGTGTGGGAAGGATTATGGAAGGGGATGACCAGGAGGGTGATAGTGAGCAGGATGTAAAGGAAATAAGTTTAATATATATACTAAACTTATATATATTCCAAAAAAGAGAATAATTTGAAATTAACATAAGTGATGAAATGAAAGGCCTCTTTAGTGGAAAGAATTAAATTAAGGAAAGTTCTAGACTATGGAAAGGCCACATGTATTTATGAATTAGGAAATTTAATGTTATAAAAATGGCCATCTTACCAAGGCAATCTTTAGACATAATGCAATTCCAATCAATATTCTAATGACAATTTTTACATAAATAAGACCAATATTCCAATTAAATTGGAATCACAAAAATCCACCAATAGCTATAAGCAACTATTAGCATAAATAACAATGGAGGATTATATTATAGTATCAGACTTAACACGATTCTGTTAAGACATAGTAATAAAAATAGCATGATACTAACCTAAAGCAATCTGTAGAGCAGTGCATTTCCACAATCCTAATGCTGTGACCCTTTAATACAGTGCCTCAAATTGTGGTGACCTGCAAACATAAAAGTATTTTTTGTTACCTCATAACTGTAAATTTTTTAATTTTAATAAATCATAATTTAAATATCCATTTTTACAGAAATTTTTAATATTTTATGGCCCATGACCCACAGGTAGAGAAGAAACACTGCTATAGATAATGGAACAGAACAGAAGATGCAGAAACCAGCCCAGGTCACTTCAGTCATTTGTACTTTTTAAAGTTTTTTCTTTTCTCTAATTTAGATTTTGAGAACTGCACAGGTGAATCCTGTACCATGTCATTGTCATCCTTCCCTCTCACCCTGCAACTTTTCATGTGCTCTCCCATTCCTCTAAAATTCATGACCTCTTCTTCCTTTTTATTATTGTTGCATTCATATATAAATATATCCTGACAAGGATGGCAAAATTACCCATTGCAGAAAATACAAAACCTTCAAGAAATTTTGCTTGTAAACTGCCTGTTTTCATATAGAAGACTGAAGCTAGATTTCTAATGTGGGGAAAAATGATCAACATATCACATATGATTTGTGAAAATTTGATGATATTAAAATAAAATTCTTTCTTGTTTATTAATCATTCCATTCATTTACGTCTCAAATGATATCCCACTTCCAAGTTACCCCCCTCCACAACCCCCATATCCCACATCTGCCTTCTCCCTACTCCTCTTTGCCTCTATGAGGATATTCACCCACCTACCCACCCACCCACTCCCACCCCACTGCTCCAGCATCCCCCTACACTGAGGCATCCAACCTTCACAGGACCAAGGGCCTCC